CCTGTTGGTAGTTGGTACTACACCTTTGTAATGATGTTTATAGTATATATTTTACCAGTATAAACCTGTTGGTAGTTGGTACTACACCTTTGTAATGATGTTTATAGTGCATGTTTTACTAGTATAAACCTGTTGGTACTGCACCTTTGTAATGATGTTTATAGTGCATGTTTTACCAGTATAAACCTGTTGGTAGTTGGTACTACACCTTTGTAATGATGTTTATAGTGCATGTTTTACCAGTATAAACCTGTTGGTAGTTGGTACTACACCTTTGTAATGATGTTTATAGTACATATTTTACCATTAAAACATGTTGGTAGTTTCGTACTGCACCTTTGTAATGACGTTTATAGTGCATGTTTTACCAGTATAAACCTGTTGGTAGTTGGTACTACACCTTTGTAATAATGTTTATAGTACATATTTTACCAGTAAATCCCCCTTGGTAGTTGGTACTACACCTTTGTAATGATGTTTATAGTGTCTCCCTTATTTTTGTCACCAACTGCCATGTTACCTGTACATTATTCTGCAGGTATAATAGGCACTATTGAAAAATAACTACTATTATACCTTGCATTACACATAAGCTTACTACGAGTTTGAATTGAATGTCAGCAATTATCCCTGATATTGAACATCTCTAGTACATCTGCTGTGATCCTGTTTGGCTTGAAATATCATAAAAAATTCACTGACACTATAACTTTTTGAAAAACAAAAAAAATGTGTTTTGTTCTATTTGCTGACATTTTTCAGCTTTTTTTTTTTCATAGGAGGAGATGCTAAAACAAAGATCGTGGTTTTAACATGTAAAAGGGTCAAAAGCTATAATGCCTTCTACTGGCCTAGTGGATCATGTCTTTTATGCTATAGCCAACAAATATTGCAAAAAAATGACCAATAACATGGCGACAGTAAAACAAAGTAAGAATATGGGGTTTGTTGTTAGATTGAGACCTCTGTCCTTTCAGAGTACCAGTTGGTTTGACAGAGATCTGTCTAACAAAAGAAATTCAAACACTGATCCAGAAGAGGCAGTCATCCACTTGTCTATGCATGTACACATGTTGTTTTTTACTTCGTCTTTTAATAAAGATTGTTTTCACGTTCCATCAAATGTGCCAGTTTTTTTATTTCTCATACAGCTTTAAACTCAATCAAGTTTTCAAATTTGGATTTCCTCTTTAAAACTGCTGTTATTAAATAGACCTATCTAATACTTGTGAGAAAACCAGTTCACTTAAAAATACCCCAAAGCAATTACCTGAATGGATTGAGTGACTTATCCACCACTATGCCAAGATCCCTTTCTTTGGTCATGCTAATGTTTCCCACCTATATTACCCTTGTGATCCAAATTTATGATAACCCAAGTGCACTTATAACTGAAGGTCAGTTTACAAATATCTGTTCAACTTTATCCAAATCATTCTGCACACAATATCCAATAAAGAAGCCCCATACACAAACTTTATTAATTAACTAATTATACTACTCATCATTACTTCAAAGGCCAAAGCACTGACCCCTTAGGCACTCCAAGAGTAACAAGTCAGTTTGACTGGACTCTGTTAATCACTTGTTGCTTACTCTCATCGAACCATCATAGAATTCAATTAACTAATGTTTTGTTTGTTTTTGTAACTAAGACATATCGTGATTTGGCCAATAGGAGATTCCTCATCATATGTTGAGCACTGGCCTTAATGCAGAGTGAAATGTCAGTTAAACTATAATAATTGTTTGTTAAGTATTACTGTTAGACACCCACAACATAATGTGGAAGACCAGAACACTCCAAACACTAACAGTGAAATTTCTTTTTTCCTCTTCAGCTTAAGTGATTGAAGACTTACTTGGTATATGAGAAGTATATAATGGTTCAAAGAACTAAAGCAAGCCATGTGGAGAAAGGAGGATGTATCTATAAAGTGTCCAGGTGTAATCTACTCTTCAACCAACCCTTTTGAACATTTCTTAGTATTATTAAGACAGAAACTAGCACATGGCAGATAAAACTTGTTCCAAGACATATTGCATGTATATTTTATCATGAGCTTCATTAATTTTTGGAAAACTAAAGGCAATAATTTGACTCAGTGTTCATAACAATAAAGATTAAAAGAGTGTAAAAGTTAGGAACTGAATACTCCAGATTAGGAACCAAATTAGCAACTTTGTGACGACCTAAAAGACAGTATAAAAATCTTTGAAATAACATTTTTACGAGTTAAAATAATCGCCACCCACAAGCTATGTAAAACCAAAGCAGAATGTTTATTAATTACAACATTAACGAGTGAACTAAGTGCAAGTGATGGATTATCATAATTTTATGAATCTCAAACCAACGAGTAATTTTCTGAAATAATTTTTTACTTAATTAATCGAATTAAATATACATCAAACTACTCGGATTTAGTAAACACTTCTCACAACATGGAAATCATAAGTACCATATCAAACCAGACATACCTTCCGTACAGGTAAACTGATGTGGTTGGATAACTTCAGATACTACCACTCTCATGTGCAAGAAATGTCATAAGTGGAAGAACAAGTCCACATTTATAATGTAACCATTTCACACAGCAGTAAACTTCAGTCACTTCTATCGCTGTAAATAGTAATTAACGTAATATGCACGTGCAAGACTGAACAGAGTAGATGTAGTACTCACTAGTAGATCCAATTACAAAGTTGCAAAACATTATTCGAGTAACACTTGAAATTGAATGTTATCTTACACATATGGACAGGTGTTACAAACCCGCTTCCCACCTCCTCTACATCCAACACGTGCAGTTATCACGTGATGTTTATGCTCGAAGTTAGTCCCTCTGAAGGTAACATAATTGATTTAATATAATATTAAAATAACTTTATCCATTTTGAACTTTACTTTTACCTAAAGATAAAAAATTTCAGTGTCAAAAATTAAAAGTTGAAGAGAATGAAAATAGAATATGATGTAAACAGGAATAAAACAGGCGATCCTGCTCTAATCAGTCAACTATTTGTCAATTGATTAAAAATAGAATCCCTCACGTTTCTCCTGATGATATAAGTTTTCAAACAATGGTATTACTTCAGAGTCGTAACAGATTACAGCCGAAAAATGCGCTCACGTCATTAATTTGAATGTAACACTAATGCATAACGATTATTTATAAATACACTTTGTTGTTGGTAACTTGTTTGTTTTAACAACAATTGTTATTTCTCATGGACGCCTTTTCCAACCTACCGAAACATGATATAATTAATTATTATTGTCATAAGATTTTTTTTTTTTTTTACTTGGGTTGTTGGCGGAGACTCTATATGGCCGGAGCCCTAGATATGACCTGTGAGTTAATCCAGTACCGGACATACCACATTAACATTTGGAGGTATATTTGTAATAATTCTAGAGGCCTATATTATTGTTCCCGTAATGAAATTTTTCTTATCTTTTGAAAAATTATGTCAAAATTCTTGTATGATTTTATTATAAGTTATTATTAAAACCATTTGGAGCTTTGTACTGTCAATTACGATTTGTGTTTTATTGGAACGCTCCTAAAGAAGCTGTAAAGCGAAACGTTGAGTGTTCAGTTAAAGAAAAATAACAAATTTTGATATTTTATGGGCGTTTATTTCTACTTCTAAGATGGCTAAGTTGAAAGGTTACAAAATTTACTTACCATTTTATAGTTAAAAACAGCAGTAACGCGCCCGGGAAAGTAACTGTACGGAAGCAAGGGTATATAGGCAAAGAACAACAAAAAATAACGTAGCATATGTATGTTAAAGATTTATTTCCACTAGCAGAAATACCCGTCCTCCAGGCAGGTATAGCTGCTAGATCCTGCGGAAGGCTATTGGGCCTGTGGCCTTTTCTGGAATTGTCTGACAGTTCTACAACAATGTACTCATACTTGACATTCAATAATGTTTACCATTCATGAATTTGTTTGTTTTTGTTTTGAATTTCGCGCAAAGCTACACAAGGGGTATCTGCGCTAGCCGTCCCTAATTTAGCAGTGTAAGACTAGATGGAAGGCAGCTAGTTAAGTTGGCGGTGGGTGGTGACTTGGGCTACTCTTTTACCAACGAATAGTGGGATTGACCGCCCATTATAAACGCTCCCACGGCTGAAAGGGCGAGCATGTTTGGTGGAACGGGGATTCGAACCCGCGACCCTCAGATTGCGAATCGAGCACCATCTATGAGAAAAAGAATTTTATTGAAATCTCAGTTTAAAAATGAGTTATCCTCACAGCATTACATCACAGAGTAGATGTTATTGAAGTATTTCTTTGTAGACACAGTTATCAATGAAAGTGCCTTACTTTTCTGTTGAAATACTCGTGAGATTTTCACTAAAGAAAAACAAATATTTTTTTAAGTTTGATTGTTTTATATTTGAAACTTACTCCTTTTTTTTGTAATTTTTATTGGTTAAATCTGAAACATATCATTTTTGTGGAAATTTCAATTGTTTTATTTATTGCTCAGCTATAAAAATACCGCCTAGATATAAAACTATTAACCAATTATGATTGGTGCAGTAGTTTCCGAGATCCGAGTTTTAGGACGTATACATTGCAAGTTCCATTGTAATAAGATTTTCACCAGAAGTGAAACTGATATGAGAATCTGTGACTTAGAGGCGTAATACATTTTTTGATTGGTTGTACCCTCTGCTGTGTATTAATACGTTTTTTTTTTATTGTGTGTCGTATTATTTACTGACACAATGTCGCGCATTGTGACAGCAAAAATGTGAGAGGTGAGAAATAAAACGTGTAAGAATTTAAGTTTTAACACATTATATTTTTACTGTAAAGAGTGCTGTTGTGTAATAGATTTTATATTTATATTTGTCCGTGCTCGTAGTTAGTTGACATGTATAGTGTAACTTTAGTGTGCCAATACTATACATGTATAGACAAAGTTTTCTTCAACTGGCTATCAGGCAGAATATGCAGGAAACTGACAACACTATTTCACACGTGTTTCAAGGCAGTTGTTACGTCTTCGTTTGTTAATTAACTTTCCGTAACTTCGTTCCGACGAAACTTAACGACACAAGTCCTTACTTAATAA